ACGAGGGTGGCTGCCCAATCCCTTAGCCCTGGGCAGACCCAACATAGACTCCCGGAGAGGCAGCCTGGGAGCCCCGACATGTGCCCGTGGCACGACTGTTTGCTTGACTGCCCCCCGCCCCCCCCAAAGGCAGAGAGCCCCCCCCTGCCCTGTCCCTTCTGAGTCTGAGAAGGGGTTTGGGCTCGCCTGGAATGCCAGGTGGCCCTACACCTGGCGGCCCCCAGGGAGCGGAAGCTGGGCTGACACGTCTGGTGGGTGTTGAAGAAACATGACAGGGTGCAAAGCTGTGCTGTAAACATGTCCCACAGCCGCTCTGAGGAGTGAGGCGACAGTTGGGCACCGCCTCTCACAGCCCCGCGGTTGCCTGCGTCTTTTGACAAGCCACCCTCACCGACTCAGCACTTTCTGAGCCTGACTCCGCCTTCCTTCCGAGAGGGCATCTCCCACCAGGGACAGCTCCCCCGCAGGCTGGAGAAGGCTTGGAGCAGAGTGGCCAGAGCGCTCAGGGATTGTGCCAACCTAGACAGCCACACTGGGTCCCAACTGGCTGTCCCCAGCAAGGGCAGAGTCAAACACCCCAGGCCTGGAGTCAGAGGCTAAAGCGGTGGCGGTGGTGGTATCTGGCTGGTGACTAGTACCCTTCACTATGGAGTACTAGCTGGTATGCTCACCCAGGGGCCTGCCTGGAGGGTCCCAGAGTCCCCAGGAACAGCTGCCAAAGCAGCTGTATGCCAGAGTGGGGGAAGGGAGCCCCTGGGCTAGATGTGGTTCTGCTTTCCAGTGACACCACCCCCAGAACCAGAGGCCCCTTCACAGTGGTAACAGGTGGACAGGATTGTCGGGAGGAGGGTGTGCAGTCCTTCCCAGGACCCAGGAGCAGCCATCCTTTCCCAAGCCCTTCACAGAGGTCAAACTGCTTCCCACTGGTGCCTTTGCCCCTCACACCTCCTGGGAGCCATGCAAGCATGCATGCACGCACGCACCACCCCGCCTCCCAGGTCTGGCTGCCTTTGAGGCACCCCTACCCATGCTCACACCCCACCCCACCTCCTACCCCCACCCAGCCCTCAGAACGCCCACTCTGCCAGGGCACCTGGCCAGACACTGAACACCAGATAAAACCACTTTCTGGAGCCCTGGGGCAGCGTCACAAGCTTGTAAAGCCCTGGGGCAGGAGGATGGCATGGTCACCTCGGGCAGGCCAGCAGGGGCAGGCCGAGGTCTCGGGGCAAGTGGGGCCCACAGGCACCCTCCAGGCTTGCACCAGCCTTCCAGAATACCTGCTGGGCGAGGAGTCAGGGCAGAGGCTAGTGGGGACCGGGGGGACAATGGGGGTGCACAGGGAGAGCCAAGCTGGGACCATGTTGAAGGAGGTGGCTGGTAGGTGGAGGCACCTGGCCCATTGAGCCCTGTGGACGCTGGGAGAACCTCCAGCCCCAGCCTCATCCCCCTCCCCAGCACTGCCCTGAGAAGGCTGATGGGAGACACCAGCCCCCTCCCATGCCCAGCCACAGCCAGCACACCTAGCCCAGAAAAGGCCCACATGGTCCCACTTACCCACAAGGTCGGGCGCATGGCCCAGGTCTGCTGAAAGCGACGCTGCCTCCACCACAATATGGGCCAGGGTGAGGGGCTCCTCTGAGGCTGGTGCTTGGACCACCTGCTGGGGGTGGCACAGGAGACTTCAAGCCTCGTGACCACATGGCCCCTTGGCACCCACTGCAGGGTCAGCTTTGGCCTCTCCACCTAGGATCACCCAGTGTCCAACTCTTGCAAGGTCCAGCCATGGGTGTGGAGGGGGGAGGCGGACTGGCAGTGAGGGGGGCTCACTGATTATGCAGGGACGGGGTGCCCTTACCACCTTAGCCCTATAGCCCCCGCCAGGGATCACAGAATGGCACAGGGCTAGGGGCTTCCTAGAGGAGGGAGCAGCTCTGAGGGTGGAGGAAGAGTGAGATGATTCCGATTCAAATGCCTCCTGGGCCAGTCCCCTGTCTGAGACCCCTGACTTCCCTCCAAGCCCCCTGTCCTTGAGATGCTCCCACCCGCCTGGCATGTTGTCAGGGCTCACCTAGCCTGCTGTGGTCTGGGGCCCCCAGGGAATTAATTCGCTGGGGGGATGGGAGAAGACAGAGGGATACCTCCAAGCGCCACCTCCCCACCCTCCCTCCCCACCCACCTGCCCTGCTAGGTCAGGCATCGGCCAGAGGCCACCCTGGGCCAGGTAGGAGGCCTCAGGCTTGCCAGACCTGCCTGCCCACCCACGTATTGGTGGTGAGCTAGTCGGCACAGGTGTGTTGTCGGGTGCTCAGGGATCGCTGGCAGTGACTACAAAGGGTGGGCACTCACCTCGGAGCCCAGCAGTTCGGTGGCCTCAGGGGTGGTGGGCAGGGCATCCAGGGGGGCCCGCTGGCAGCCCTTCTGAAGCTTGTGCTGGACGAAGTCCTCCACAGTGGTGAACTCGGCCTGGCAGCGGCCACATCTGTGCACATCGTCTTCATCTGGGTGGGGGGTGGGGGTGCCATCAGTGGGCCCAGGTGATGCCAGACCCCAGAGCCTTTCCCTAGCCCTCAGAGGGGCTGCTGAGAGCATCTTAGGAGTGGGTGTGCCCC